GTTGTGCAGGAATCGCGCTCTTGCGTGGGACTTCCTCGCAATGTATTCAGACGCCGTACCCACGACACTCAGGAATCGCGCTCTCGCTTTGGCCTTTCTTGCGATTTACTTCGGAATCGCGCTGTCGCTCGAGCGCTTCTCGCGATGTATACAATATTCACGCTTCAGCAGCACGCCTGCTCGACCTGACCGCTTGGGCCCGCCTCCCCGACCCGCCCGTTAGGCTCTACCCACCCGATGGGCCCGTCTGGTTCTGCCACGTGTTTTCTGTTCCTCGCCCTCCTCCTGTTAATCCCGTGCTCCGTCCTTCCCACTCCCTCTTCCATCCGTCCTGTCTTCCCCTGTTTGAGGGGCTGCACCAATTACACGCGGCAGATAAAGAAGATATGCCCCCAGGGGGGTACGACCGAAGACGAAAAGAGCGGGTACCGAGGGATTGGGATATACGTGTTGAATGGCACGCGAGCAGGTAAGAGCGAGCAATATTAAACTTGTTATTGTTGTCGTTGTGAATGTCGTTGTTGTTGCTGCTGCTACTGTTATTCCTCATTCTTATTATTGTTGTTGCTGCTGCTGGTTGTTGTTGTTGGTCTCCGGGACTGGTTCCGCGCGTTCTCGCCTCGACGCCGGCTATATTTTCTCTGAAAACGAGGCTCCCGCGCGAGCGTTGGCTTGAGTGTAAATGCAAGCCCTTGGAGGCCCAGCTACAACGACAACGGCTCCCGCTCGATACTTCCTCGCACATTTACCCCGAGACACCATGGCCAGAGAGGCCCCTGAACTCAGGAACGGCGCTCTCGCTTGAGAATTCCTCGCAATCCAGTCAAGGTGGCGGAGGCCCAAGCCACGACGACAAGGGCTCCTGCTCGATAATTCCGCATGGTTTACTCCGAGAGCCCCTGGCCAGGAAGGCACCCGAACTCAGGAACGGCGCTCTCGCTCGGGACTTTCTCGTGATTCACTCAAATTTGTGGATGCCCAACTGCGACGACAAGGGCTCTCGTTCGATATTTCTTCAAGATGTATTCTCAAAGGCCCTTGCCAGAGAGGCCCCCGAACTCAAGAGTGGCGCTCTCTCCCGAGACTCTCGCAATTCCGGCAGGTTGGTGGAAACCCAGACGCGGCGACGAGGGTTCCCGTTTGATATTTGTCATATGTGTTCCGAGAGCCCCCTGGGTCCAGGGGCGCAAACCTGCCCGTCGCGTCTCGCTCAAGCGCCCCCCCCCCCTCGCGGACGGTCGCGATGCTACCGATCTTGCCTCCGCAAGTTTCAGCGGCTGCGCGATCTGCCCCAGAGTCTCCTCGCCCAACGTGACCCGTTTGATCCGCCCGCCGCCCACCCGCCCGCGCTGCCCCCTGCCCCGTCCTTCCTGCGGCGCGGTGCTTGCGGTGCCTATGAGGAGAGGGCCGTGCCCGACGCTACTCGCAGTTTGCTCGCCCCTCCTTCGTCCCACTTGCCCTGCGGGGCTCGCACCTCATACGGTTGGGTCCGCAGCGCTAACTTGATCCCCCCGTCTATAACGGGCGTGCCCGGGAAGGGGGCGGGGGGGGGAGGGGGCTGGCCGCGTCGCGATTCACGCCGGCGCCCCATGGGAACGCGAGGACTTGCTAATTCCCACACCGCGCCAGCGCGAAGCGTGGTGTGACCCGGGTGGAGGGGGGGCGGGGCCGGTCCCAGGCGTTATCGCGAGTAAGAAAAAGACAGGCCCTTTTCGGGCCCCCCCGAACTGGGTGGTGACCACGCCGTGTGGTGCGTCAGTGGGGAGTCGGGGTCCCCGCGCGGTGCCCTTGGAATGCTGGGCGCTTTCGCTGTTTCCCGGGGGTTTTCTTGCCTCGCGATGCGTCACAGCACCTGCGCCTCGCCGAGGGTTTTTTCGGTTGCGCTTGGATCGCCCCGAATGGCAGCGGCAGGCTTGAATTGTGGCCCGGGAGCGAAAACATTCGGAGGGGGGCCGGTGTGGTGAGTCAGTGGGGATTCGGGGCCGCCGCGCGGTTTTTGGATTCGGGTCGTTCTCCGTGGACGTCTCCGGCGACCCGGGCCTCTATAGGGTCCCAAGGTCATGCGGCGACGGGCCGTGCGGTGAGATTTCTTGGAGGTCCGAGGTCGCCGCGGGGTCTGTCACCACGCGATTTGGGGACTCCCAAGCCAAGCGCTGCCCCTGCGTGCGACGGCATGCCGCCAGAGGGGGCTGGACGCGCGGTGATCACCGTGTGTGGCGACAGGCCGGCGCCCTACCCGCCCACCGGGGGCGGCCAGGACGGGGGGAAATGATTCAACGGGGGTGGATATCGTGGCCAAGGCCAGGGACTTTCCCAGATTAACATGGCCCCCTTAGTTATCATTTCGATGCGTCCCCCCCCTTGCCCCCCCGCTCCCGGTCGCGTACCTGCCTCGGGCCGTGCATTAGCGACCCCCTCCCTTGGACGCCCCCTCCTGGGCGCCCCCGAGGGGGGGGCGCCAGAGGCCCCCGCCCGCCACGGCGTGCTGCCAAACGGGGGGGGGGAACGGGGCGCGCGGTGGCCCCCCCGGGCCCGGCCACACGGGCTGGCACCCCGCCCGCCCGTCCTGCCGCCACCTCGGCGCGGAGCGGCCTGCGGCTGTCGTCGGCGAGCTGGGCGGCGGGGGGGGGGCTGTCGTCTGCGGGGGCCTGCCGCCGCTCGCCCGGCGGTGTGCCCCCGACCGCAGGGCGGCCCGACCCTCTGCTGGCGCCTCGACCAGGTCGAGGCGGGGAGGCTCTGCCTCGTCTTCGGCCCCTCGGGGCCCTCACCGGGCCTCGGGGCGGCCCACAAAACGATCCGGGATGAGAGGCCGGTCCCGGGGATCTGGACGCCCGAAATGGGTACGGAAAGAATGGGTACAATGCCCAACGGCAGCTCCTGTTCATTTTGAACAGGATTCGCTGTCCACGCCGCCGCGGCCCGTGTCCATTCGAGACAGAAGGCCGCCTGCCCAACAGCGGCCGCTGTTGGCTCGGGACAACCTTTGTTGTTGGGCATTGTACCCATGTTTTCCGAACCCATTTCGGGCGTCCAAAGGGGAAGTGGCCGAGAGGTCGGGGGCCCTGTGGCCATGTCTTGACGGAGAGCGAGGCGCCAGGTGCCTGGGGGCCCGAGAGCCGCCCCCCCCCACCAGACGCCGACCCTCCTCGGGGCGCCCCTGCCCCTCGGATCTCGGCGCGCCGGAGGAGGCGTCCCGGCGCTCCCGTTCCAGCAGTGGCGAAGCGTCCTGGCTCGCCTATAGGCCGACCCCCAAAAATGTTCTGAGAGCCTTTTTTCGTGGTCTCCACGAATTCTTTTTAGAGCATTTCTGGCTGGGGTTGTCCTGTTTTAGCACCTTGGGCGTATGTTCTAAGAGCATTGTTTTTGGTTCTCAGAACATCTCTTGGGTTCTGAGAGCACATCTCGTGGTAGGACTACAGGACTGCCGGGACGGTCGGTCCCTGCGCAATGCCCTTTGGACCTCGGCGCGCCGGAGGAGGCGCCCCTGCGCTCCCCGTGCGCCCTTTCTCCGCGGCCCTGCCTGCGGGCGGAGCAGGGGGGCGGCGTGCCCCGCGGGGACGGCCGCGGGAGGCCTGGCGCCTGGCTCCGCCCAGGGCGGGCGACGCGTCCTCCGGTCCAGCTGGGCAGATGGCGACGAGCAGGTGCACGAGGAGCGGGAGAGATGTTTAGGCGAGGTGGAGGCGGAGGAGGACGAGGAGGCGGAGGATGAGGAGGAGGAGGAGGAGGAGGAGGAGGAGGAGGAGGAGGAGGAGGAGGAGGAGGTGCAGCAACAGGGCACCGCGCCAGCGAATGATACAGACACGCACACACACACACGTACACACACACACACATATATATATATATATATATATATAGATGAGGTGGGGATAGCTGCGTGTCGGTGTCGGCTCTTGAGAGGGTCGCCAGGCGTAGGTTTTAGGCCCTGTCCCACCCTTTCCCCCCCCACACACACTCACCCTTTCTTCGTCCTGCGTTTCTTCCCTTCATGGTCCGTTCGGCTGGTGAACGGCGCGCCCTAGGCTTTTTTTCTCGCTGCAGACTGGAGGCATTAAACGGGCGACTGGCATCATCTCGGCAGCTTAAGCCCAGTGTGTTGGTCGGTTGGGGCAATCATGAAGCGTGGTTCGACGGCGGAGGTATTGCGTTTTGCCGTCGTTGATTCCGTAGATTTGCCCAGACACCCACCTGGAGGACACGTGATTTCACATGATGCGTCGCGGTCTCCCTCCACATCTTCAACCTCCCCCCTCCCCAAACGATTGCGCTTGAAAAGCTGCTCTCGTCTGGCTGGCCCAGCATTTTCTCAGCAGTCTCGAAAAATACCGCCAGGGTTCTAGCAGCGTGCGGGGGTCGTACACTCGCAGGGCTGGTTCGGCATGTTGTTTCAAAAAGCAATTTAGCGTCAGTGATTTGACAAGGTGGCGAGCCAGAGTAGGACGAAATTGGCCCGCAAGCTGGTGTCATTCGCAGAAGGCATCTGTACACCACCGCCGTGCCTGGTCAGGGTCATCCTTGGTCCAGCGATTGTGTGTTAGACTTCCCCGTTTTGGCCAGGAGGGCGTAAACACCATGCTTGGGCTCAGGATTGCCTTGGTCAGGTGTGGTGATGTTGAGATGATACCTCCTGCGTGTACCAGACTTGCCGGCTTTTCCTATTGATCACCAGGACTGATATAACCCCTAACCCTGATCTGACAATGAAAGCATAGCCTATCTTAGGTCCCCGTCTTTGCACTAGGGATAGGGTGTTTAATTTGGTTTGACGCATCTGCAAATAATGATCCTTGATGTTTTGGGCATCCTATTTTAGGTTCCCTCTCAAAGGGTTAGGGGTCTGTTTGTCGCTAGTCAACTGAGTGCAGCCGTGTACCACGGAGTGCCCAGCTGGGTGTTTGCAGTCGTGCCCTTCCTCTTCTGGGGATTGCGCTGGTTAAGGCGATCTTTTGGGGCTGTCCGTTCAATCGCGCACCCAACTGGATTGATATACTCCTTGCCTGATGGTCCTCTCCTGCCGTGCGCACTTGGCCGCTATCAATCAATCCTCACCGCCGCCATGGTTTAGCCAAGCTGGATCAGGACGAGGCCTGAGCACTGGCATCGCACGTCCCCGCGCTGCCTCCGTCCGCCGGGGCCACCTCGCGCACCGCGCTGGCCGGCACCTGGTCGGAGCAGCGCGCCGTCTGGGGCGGCTGCCGAGCCGGCCGCGGCAGCCAGGGCCGCGCGAGCGCCAGATGGGCCCCTCCGCCCAGCCCGCGTCGGCCGGCGCGTCGTCTACGTCGGTGCCGCCCGTGCAGCGCCTCCACTACCCGCGGCGGGAGTTCTCGCAGGACCCGCTGGGCAACCTCTGGGACGCGCTCGTGACGTTCGTGCTCTGGCACTACCTGCTGTGGGGCTTTGCCGGCGGCGTTGCCTCCCTGCTCGTCTACGTCTTCTGCGTCGGGCCGCGGTGGTCTGTGTCGTGGCTCCTCTTCCACGCCGCAGTCGCCGCGTACGTCGTTCAGCTCGTCGTCTGGCGGCCACAGAACCGCGCTGGCGTGCCGAGCTGGCTGTGGCACTCGTTCCGATTCGCCTCCGTGTTCGAAAGCAGTCTCCGATACGGGGACTGCACCTTTATCCGCGAGATGGACCCTGAGACAGAGGAGGCTGGCACCGGTGCCAGGTACCTTTTCGCGTGGGCGCCGCACGGCATCATGGGTGTTTGCCGGGGCGGCAGCGGCAGCGGAAATTGGGCGAAGATGTATCCGGGCGTCTACGGCATGTGGGGTAGCTTCGGGGCGGCCTTCTACTTGCCTGGGATACGTGAGTTCAGCTTCCTGACTGGTTGCGTCGACGCGGGTCGCAAGACATTGGCGAGGGTCGCGGACACGGAGTCGATACACTTGATCCCCGGTGGCATTCGCGAGATGCTGCTCACAGACCCCAACTCGAAGGTCACGCGCTTGTGCTTTCGTGACCGCTTCGGGTTCGTTAAGTTGGCGTGGGAGAAAGGCCTGAAGCTCGTGCCAGTGTTCTGTTTCGGCGAGAAGTTCTGCTACGACAAAGTGCTGATCCGCCCGGCCTGGTTGCGCAAGATTCTGCTGCGAAATCAGCTCACAGGGACTGGTCTGGTGGGTCGATTCGGATGCACCTTCCTCCCAAAAAATGACAAGAAGCTGGGTTGGGTTTTCGGGCGCTCGATTGACCCCAAGAAGTTCGGGTCTTACGAACAAATGCATGCATATTTCTTGGATGAGATGGCGCGCCTCTTTGAGACATACAAGGCAGAGTTTGACTATGGGGTGGACGAAGTCTTGGAGATCGTGAACACAGATTTCACGGAGAAGCTGGACTAGTTATTCGCTGTTCAGCGGCCTTCGTACATTTTCGATGTGACACTGGGGAGAGAAAGGAGGAAGAGGATGAGGATGAGGATGAGGATGATGACGATGATGATGATGATGATGATGATGATGATGATGATGATGATGATGATGATGATGATGATGATGATGATGATGATGATGATGATGATGATGATGATGATGATGATGATGATGATGATGATGATGATGATGATGATGATGATGATGATGATGATGATGATGATGATGATGATGATGATGATGATGATGATGATGATGATGATGATGATGATGATGATGATGATGATGATGATGATGATGATGATGATGATGATGATGATGATGATGATGATGATGATGATGATGATGATGATGAGGAGGAGGAGGAGGAGGAGGAGGAGGAGGAGGAGGAACACCGCGACCAACACAGTTGGACACACATTGCGACACGATGCACCAGCGAGTGGTGGGCGTTGGGCAGTAGTTTGTTGGGTTGGGAGCTTCGTAGTTCCCATGCTTTGCCAGAGCATTCAAGACTGTTTCACGGAGGTGCTTTGTCGCGGTGCTGTCCGCCTCCTTGTCTTCCTCCGAAAGAATATTCGACTTGATACTTGGTTGGCGCGCGGTTTTCGAGAGTCTGTATTCGGTATTGGGCAGATCTTCCAGTTTCAGTCTTTGTTCGGTTGCTGCCTTGGCCGGAGGCGTCCTTACCTCGGCGCGCCGAGGAGCTCGTCCGAGCCCGAGGAATAGCCTTGCCTGCTGGTGCTGCTGAGGGGCGTGCCAAGGCGTATCGTTCTGAATGTTGGTGTGGTTTTTGCGAGTACAGCTGGTGTGTGTGTGTGCGTTTGTGTGAATGGCGTGTCCTCCTCCTCCTCCTCCTCCTCCTCCTCGTCCTTCTCCTCCTCCCTCCCTCTCCCCTCCTGCCTGCTTCTTCGCCACAGGGCCCCCTTGGCGCTTGTAAAAAAGTGTGTGTGTGTGTGTGTGTGTGTGTGTTTGTGTGTGTGTGTGCGTACTTGCGTGCGTGCATGCGCCCGACCTTTCTCCTTCGCGCCGCTTTCTGCGCGTGGCCGCGGCGCCGGGAAAGCGTGTGTGCGCGTGCTGTTGGCCGGGCTGTGTGTGTGTGTGTGTCTGTTCGTGGCGCAGAGGCTCTGGGCCCCTGGCGATTCCTCATGCCGACTAGGCCAGACAGCCCGGATTTGACTACCCAGCACGACTCCATCGACGATATTGCACACAGCGACTTGGTCGCCCTCGTCGTCCACCTCATCCATCCACATCTGGCGCACAACCAGGCATGGGCGACGCACTACGAATCGGACCGCCACCGAAGCTTCGACCCCACCCTTCCTTAGGTGGCCCTTTCAGGCTGACCGACCCACCCGCGACTGGCAACCACCTTGGGAGGAACAGTTCGACGCCTACCAGGGCGCCACTGCCTTTCTAGTGCGGTGGCTCACACGCTCACCCGGGCACGCCTCTGACCACTGGAACAATATCTGCGTCGAGCAACAGCTCGCGCGAGCGGGAAGGGATCCTAGAACGCACGAGTGCCGCATCCTCGATCATCTTCTCGAAGGCATCCCAGACCAAGACATCCTGGCTTACCCAGGCTTTCAGCTCACACATGGGACCTTTCCAGGCGCACGCGCGAAAACAGCCATCGCCGACGTCGACGCCGACGCCGACCCCCCGCTCGACCTCTCCCTCCGCCCTGCCGCCACCACTGGTGCCATCAAGCACGGGCCGCCGAGGCGTATGCCAAGCGTCTTGAGGACCTCGCGCACTACCAGCTCTCGGGGCACCGCCAAATGGGTCAGCGACTACAGCCTAGCTATGTTTCGCGCTCTACACAAGCATGCCATCGCCGTGCCCTGCCCCCACGTTCGGTAGCAAACGATTGGAGCCGTGTGTACCCTCGTAAGTCTGTCTTTAGCGTCGACTCGTGTCGATGAGCGTCTGGGAGTCGATGAGATAGCGCCGATTTAGCGTCGGTTGGCGTCGATTAGCGTTGATTTTGCGTCGGTAAACCTCGATTTGGCGTCGACTAGCGTCGATTCGCAAGAGCCGACAAGATGGTAGGGGAGGCTCCCATGAGTTGCCACCGTACCCACGGGCGGAACGCCATGCACCTCCATCGCAGGAGCGCAGAAGCCCACGTCGCCTTCCTGCGACCCCACGTCGGCGACGCCTTCCCGAACGGCCTGCACGACGCCTACCAATGGGACCCCGAACAGCAAGCCGTAGCCGACGCCATCACCTACCTCACGGCGGAAAATGACCGCGCCCGGACCTTGCGCCTCGGCAGGACCCTCGGCGTCAACTGCGAACAGGCTCCCAGGCGGCATGTCAAGGCAGTCTACGTGATCTCCCTGCGACAGCAGGGGGTCACACGGGCCCAGCCATGGCTGATTACTCACCCTCGTGGGCCAACCCCCTGGCGAAAGCCAATGCTGGTCCACGACCGCGGGCGGGCCCAATCCTCTCGGACGACCTGCCCCGCCGATGCGAAGCCGTGGTGCGCGCTGGTGCCTTCCAGCCAGGTGGGCGCCATAGCGGGCTCGGGGAGCGACGGGCCAGACCACGACGCTGCCGCGACGGCAGATCCCAGGCTGCCTCCAGCTCCGACGGCCCCCGTCTACCGCAGCGGGGAGCGCACCCCCCGAGCCCTCCACCGGTCCGCGAGCCGCCGCCCGCCGCTGACAACTCCGCACCACCGTCGAACCGCCATCCCATCGGGAGCCCAACCAATGGGCCGACCCTTGGTGGGACAACGCGCAGTGGACCTCGGACACCAACTCGTCCAGGTGGGGGCGCGAGGACAGAGCGAGCGCTCCAGCACACCCCTTGGCAGCAGCAGGAGGGGGAGCAGGCTGGCGGCACCTGGAACTGGCCTGACGGCTCACCGCACGACCCGGCGACAGACCACCAGGACGACTGGGCGCGCCGTCGCGCCAGGGAGCGGCCCCCCGACAGGCAATCGCATGCGCAGCGCACGATCACCGAGCAGCAAGCCCTTGCCGGCTTCGTCCAGCAGCTGCAGCACACCACACGCGCCCAGGGCCCCAGGCAGCGGACCGCACCCCGGCGCGAGCACGTGCAAGTGGATGGCCAAGCGCGGACCCGAGAGGAGTCGCGGACGAAGCAGTGCAGGCGCACCTCGCACCCGCAGCGGGCCACCCAAGGTGCGCTCGGGACCCTGGTCCTCCATCACCAGCCAGGGGACGGGAACGGGCCCTGGGCGCGGCACCGTCACGGCGCCGCCGCGCCCGAGGGCGGCGGGAGGGACCAGCGTGAGCGTGGCGAGGACCACGGCCAGGCCAGGCCGGCCAGCACGAGACGACGTCACGGCCCCCGGTGCCACCCGCCGCCTGCTGCGCTGCTCGGGCGCCCCCCCCGGGGGGGCCGCCACGCAGGAGGAGGAGGAGGAGGAGGAGGAGGAGGAGGGGGAGGAGGAGGAGGAGGAGGAGGAGGAGGAGGAGGAGGAGGAGGAGAGGAGGAGGAGGAGGAGGAGGGGAGAGGAGGAGGAGGAGGAGGAGGAGGAGGAGGAGGAGGAGGAGGAGGAGAGGAGGAGGAGGAGGAGGAGGGAGGAGGAGGAGGAGGAGGAGGAGGAGGAGGAGGAGGAGGAGGAGGAGGAGGAGGAGGAGGAGGAGGCTCTCCAAGCCTGGCGCGACACCTCTCTGCGCCCGCAGCCGGCTCGCTGGGGCCTTCGCGCGCCGTGCGCCCCGCTTCGCTTCCGGCCCTCGGGGCATCTGCCGCTGTGGGCGGCGATCCAGGGAGAGGAAGCATGCTGCCAAGCATGTTCCAGGTGTGTCAAGCATCATGTTCGACATGTCCCAGCCATGTAAAAAAAGCAGGTCTCAAGCATGCTCAAGAACATGCTTCAGACAGTTTAATTCAGCGCATGCTCAGTTCCATGATCGGACTCTCAGGGTGTCCATGGTCGTGACATCCATGAATCTACCGCGTTTCTTCGATATCGTGCCCCGAATGCGGCCCTCTGAGCCTTTGCCTTCCCTTGGCCGTGTAGCGGCCTCTGGTCGCTGCGTGTGTCACCTGCAGGAGGGGCTGGAAGGCCTCCCCTGCCGCTGTTCCTCGTTCCCCCTGCGCTGTCACCTCTGCGACTTCGGCCGTTGTCTCACTGCGGCGCGCCTGGGGGCGCGCCGACGGGAGGATTCGGGCCTTCTGATGCCTCCTCTCTCCCCCCCCTTCGCACCCCCCGCGTCCCCCGCCCTGCTCGGGGGGGGGGGGGCCTTCCATTCCGGGGCCTCGCGCGCTGGCGGGTGCCGCTCCCTCGCCTCGCGGGTGCCCAGCGCGCATCGAGGGCTGCCGCCCCTGGACGGGCCGCTGGCCCGTGGCCCCTGGCCCGCCGCCCAACTCGTCCTGGCTCGCTCCTCCCGCGCGCTGCCCCGCGCTGCCCTGGCATCGCTCGGACGCGTGCATGTTTTTTCTCGGCGAGGACCATCGAGGACCATCGAGGACAAACAAAAAAAACGCACCTCCTCCTCCTCCTTCTCCTCCTCCACCTCCTCCTCCTCCTCCTCCCTCTCCTCCTTCTCCTCCTCCTCCTCCTCCTCCTCCTCCTCCTCCATCGAGCAAACAAAAACACGCACGACATCGACAGATGCACTGGAAATGGACGTCCGAGCGACGGCAAGGACTCGCTCCTCCCGCTGGCTGCCTTCCGCCTCGAGGAGCCGCGCGCCGACCCGCGCGGCTCCGCGCGGCTCCGCTGCCGCCCCTCGCTGCTGGTGGGTGCCCAGCGCACCAGGCGCGGACGGTGGCCCGCCCGCAGCGTGGCCGCCCTGCTCTTACGCCGGGCGTGTCCCTCTGCAGTAGGGATATCCAAAAATAGGCAAACATAGTCAGGGGACGATTTTCATCGATTCTTTTTCGACAATTTTTTTTGGATATGCTTTGACTATTCTGAGCTTCCCCTGCAGCCATCTCTGCCTAATTCAAGCTTCGCGCGGCCCGCTTAGCTTCGACCGGAA